TATGTATGTATGTATGTATGTATGTATGTATGTATGTATGTATGTATCTGTGTCTGTGTCTGTGTCTGTGTCTATATCTATATCTATCTATCTATCTATCTATCTATCTATCTATCTATCTATCTATCTATCTATCTATCTATCTATCTATCTATCTATGGTATTCAGCTTTGTTCGGGTATCTTCCCATGTCATTATAGTTGTGCTTTTAAAGTTGTAGCAACGTTTCGGCAGAATCTCATCTGCCATCATCAGGCTTCTGTATTGTGGACTCACAGACGAACACAATACAGAAGCCTGATGATGGCAGATGAAATTCTGCCGAAACGTTGCTACAACTTTAAAAGCACAACTATAATGACGTGGGAAAATACCCGAACAAAGACTTACATGTATGGCATTCAGCTTTGTTCGGGTATTTTCCCACGTCATTGTAGTTGTGCTTTTAAAGTTGTAGCAACGTTTCGGCAGAATCTCATCTGCCATCATCAGGCTTCTGTATAGATGAACACTATACAGTTCTATACAGATGAACACTATACAGAAGCCTGATGATGGCAGATGAGATTCTGCTGAAACGTTGCTACAACTTTAAAAGAACAACTACAATGACGTGGGAAAATACCCGAACAAAGCCGAATGCCATATATATACACACACACACACACACACACACACACACACACACACGCATACATATATATTACACACACACACACACATATACATACACATATAAAACATTGAACAATTAACACAAATAAGATTTATTTAACAACAGCCTCTATAGAGATAAGTAAAGTACTTAATTAGCTACATTGTACCAAGAGGTGCATGTAGATAAAGTTGCCTTTAGCGAGATGGGCATCATGCAAGTTTGATAAATAAAAAATAAAATAAAAGTATAATCAAGAGTATGTACTCCACGCACATATGCCAGGGAAGAAAGCAGTGGTGAAATGCTACCAGTTCGGCCCGGTTTGCCTGAACCGATAGCAAAAATGTCTGCCAGTTAGACCAAAGCAGTAGTAAAAAAAAAGCTCCGATGATCAGCTGAAAGAAAAGTAAAGTGAAGGATCGGTCCTCCTACTCAACCCTGCACTTTTCTGTTCTTTATTGCCTCAACTGATTGGCGTGGCAGAGCCTCAGCTGGTGTTTGGAAAGCTGCAGGCGCGCGCGGTGTGTGATCACTGGACTGGTAGGGAAACTAATAGAATCCCACCATTGAAGGAAAGGCAGAAGGAAGCAACTCTAGACTCATAATCTCTTAAGCAACAAGCAGTGTGACAAAGGGGGAGTGGGAGTAAATTTGCAACTCTTTACCTACACCCCACGGACACTTGGTCAGTCGGTTGCGAAGGGCTCCAGAGTCAGTGCCTCTGAAGTGGAAAGTATGATTGTGTGACATTATCATGAAGATGAGTTTGGTCCTCTAGTGTAAGATCTAATGACCTGAGCTCCTTGTAAAGTCATGGAATTTGACCGACTTAGCTCGATTATGAACCCCGAGATTTACAAAAGCCTTTTTTTTTTAAAAAAAATTGAGGCTATGACCTGTGTCAGATTCCTACCAACAATTGCTGAACCTCATCATCTAAGTTTCCAGATTCTTGGCTGTATTGATCCCTTTCAATCTGAGCCTCAGTCATCTCAGAGTGAACCAGGTGCAGCTGCTTCTCCAGATCTTCTATCTAAAGCATTAACACAAAAACACACTCAGAAATGACCCTCAGGGTGGGCACAGAATGCAGGTTCCTAAGAATCTCAGAGTTTTTATTTTTTTTTACTTCACTTTGTAGCCTGGCTCAAGAAAGTGGGAATGCTTAGCTGGCTTTTGTTGAGCTGAAAAAGCTAAACCTGGCCAGATCTAGTTAAGAGCTGGCTGAGAGACCACCAGGAAAAATATCTTAGAAGGCAGCAATGGAGAATTAAAAGGTAAAGGTTCCCCTCTCACATACGTGCTAGTCGTTTCCAGCTCTAGGGGGTGGTGCTTATCTCCGTTACAAAGCTGAAGGGGCAGCGCTGTCCGAAGACGTCTCCATGGTCATGTGGCCGGCATGACTAAACGTCGAAGGCGCACGGAATGCTGTTACCTTCCCACCAAAGTGGTCCCTATTTTTCTACTTGTACTTTTTACATGCTTTCGAACTGCTAGGTTGGCAGAAGCTGGGACAAGTAATGGGAGCTCACTCCGTGACGCGGCGCTAGAGATTTGAACCACCGAATTGCCGACCTTTCTGATTGACCAGCTTGGTGTCTTAGCCACTGAGCCACCACGTCCATGATTGTCCACATCCATGAAGACATCACAAATCAAGTACCAACTTGGGAGTCTTTTTAACCTTCAACCTATAATTTTCACAACGTGTGGAACGTGCCGACCAAAATACTGGAATTCTGGAGTTTAACTTCATTCACGATCTTTAACAACATTTAATCCTTCCCGCTACATTGGTAAAAGTAGACGAACGACCACAGTTAAGCCCAAAATTTGGGTTGCTAAGTGAGGCAGTCACTAAGAGAATTTTGCCCCATTTTACGACCTTTCTTGCCACCCTTGTGAAGTGAATCACTGCAGCTGCTAAAGTTAGTCACGCGGTTGTTAAGTGAATCTGGCTTCCCCATTGACTTTGTTTGTCAGAAGGTCGCAAAAGGGGAATCACGTGACTCTGGGACACTGCAACCGTCATAAGTGCGAGCCAGTTGCCAAGCGTCCAAATTTTGATCATGTGACCATGGGGGTGCTGCAAGTGTGAAAAAGCATCATAAGTCACTTTTTTCAGTGCCATTGTAACTTTGAATGACCACTAAATGAACTGTTGTAAATGGAGAACTACCTGGACTAGAAGTGTGACTGCTTTGATTTTTCAAGTTTCATTCAGGATGTGGTAAATAATTCAATAATGCACCTCAGTACTCATCATCGTCTTTTAACGACCCCATAATCCCTTGTGGGGTGGAGTCTGGGCAACTGAATGGAGCTGAGTGTTTACTGGCCGGATGCCCTTCCTGTCGCCAGAGGTGGTATTCAGCAGGTTCTGATCAATTCTAGAGAATCGGTAGCGGAAATTTTGAATAGTTCGGAGAACCAGCAAATACCACCTCTGACTGGAGATTTGACAGTATCCTTCCCCGACCACGCCCAACAAGCCACGCCCACAGAACCGGTAGTAAAAAAAATGTGAATCCCACCACTGCCTGTCGCCAATGCGGAGTTATATTCAGTAGTTACATTCTCATTGTGCCCAGAGAGAGAAAAATCTGCCTCTATCTACGATCGAACTCACAGCCTCCTGATTGTGAGTTGAGAGCTCCACCTCTAGGCCACCGCACCACTCAAATGCACCTCTGTACTGCGGCCAAAAATTCTAGGTATCCACAACTAACATCAACCATACTACGTGTTCTTTAATTTTTTGGACTTTTATGTAAGAGAGGTGTTGTCATGCCCCTGGTGGAGACTGACTCTGAGGGAGAGGAGGAACAGCCCACAGGGAGTGGAAGGGTGGCTCCGGAGGTTGTGGAGGAGGCTGGGGAAGGGCAGAGGCCGGCTGAGCAGTCAGAGGAGGACCCAGGCCCGTCTCCTCTCCATCCTAGGGCACGCAGGGAGGAGAGGATAAGGGAGAGATGTGGTCTACTGGGGAGGAGAGGGCCTTGATCCTTTTCATGGGCTGCAGCTGTGACAACTGGATAAGAGTTTGGACCTGCGTACTGGCAAATGCTAGAAACAAAGTATGTAAATATCTCTAGTTCATAGTTCCTCTCTGAGTTTGGCATCCTTCCCAGTGTGTGCTATCTGTGGACATCCTCCAGCCCTTATCTTGCCTGGTTTGTGTTGCTTTTTTCCTTCTTTGTGTATCTGTGTGGGAGTTGGTTTTTTTTTTGTCTTCCGTCAAAGTTATTCGGAGCTTGGAAGCAAAGTGAAGGAATAAAAGGGGCTTCACCTGTTTTCTGTGACTGTGTTTGTTTTGTATCCCACCCTGGGTCATCACAGGTGTTCGTGCATGCACCAACACAAGGGTGTCCACTGAAGATGGTGTGATGGAAGTTGTGTCTGGTCACACACGAAAACCAGGTAGCGCTTCAATCACATTGCCATAGCTGCCATCTTGATATTTTTTTTCCCACCACAACCTGCAGATACTTTCGTCTCAGTATAAACCAGCTCAGAAATAATGAGCAGATCAAAGGCTAATTAACAGAATTTTAACAGAACAAGGGACCTTGGAGGACTTCTAGTCCAACCCACTGCTCAAACAGGAAACTCTATAACCATTTCAGCCAAATGGTTATCCAATTTCTTGTTAAAAACCTCCAAACTACTGTAGTACTTATTAGAAACCTGTCAGACTAGTATTGTTCATGGTCTATCCGGGAATTTTGAGAAAAATACAGAAAGATTTCAGTTGCAATAGTACATATAGTTAAGTTGAAATAAATATGACAACAAATTAAGCCACCATTCTGTGCATGTCGGAAACCTTGGAGAAAGCTTATTGAACTAACCAGGGATTATTTCCGAGTAGGCATAGACCAGTAACTGAAATTTCCTTCGTCCAGTGTATCCGTGTAGTAGGGAAGCAGTAATAATTAACAATAATTATGCGGAATCCGGTGTGACTGAAGTTGGGTGGGCAACGCAGGGATGAGTTTCCCTCATTTTAAAATTCATAGTAGGGTGACGTTATCACTATAAAGCCTGCCAGAAATGTCATAAAAGAAATGTGTTTAAGATCTGGGTTCTCTGGAATAGTGGCCTCCAATCTTTTGGGCACCAGACACTGGTTCCACCCCCATCTATTTTCTGCTTCCCAAGTCCCAGCTGATCAGCTGGGACTTCTTTAGTTGCCCTGCACAGGAGAACAGAGCTGGAAAGCAGGTTATTGGGGTGGGGAGGGGAGATTTTGCAGTAATCTTCCCCCTGGAGTGGGGAGGGAATGGGGATTTTGCAGGATTCTTCCTCTGCCATGCCCACCAAGCCAAGTCACACCCACCAAGCCACGCCCACAGAACCGGTAGTAAAATATTTGAATCCCACCACTGGTTCACGTGCTACCTGGATCCCACGGATGGGGCTTCGCTTGTTTGCACTGGGAGTTGGAAACCCCTACACTAGAACTCTTCACCTAGCTAGGCCACCAAAATGGCAAGATAAATGGTTGGCTGATGTTAAAGTCACAGAGTCTAGATTCAGTCTTTAGATGGCAGGTAGGGAAATAGACAGGGGTGGGCTTTTAGCAAGGGGCTCTCTGCACTAATAACTGGCCAGGTGGGCATGGCTAGGTGGTCATGTGACTGGGGTGTGGCCAATTTGACTTCGCTTCTTTGCCCTAATTACCTAAAAAAAGGTAATATACCAAAAAGTGGTTTATTATTTTGTGCATTTAATTTAATACTTAAATAAAAGACCGGGTGAAACCAGGCTTAATAGCAGTGACTGTGAGAGGGATCTTAGTGGAGTTTCTGGTGAGTTACGTGATTCTTATTATTTGAGAATTAATCCCCTCGGAGGCTAGTGGCTATATTATCTTCTCTCTCTCTCTCTCTCTCTCTCTCTCTCTCTCTCTCTCTCTCTCT